ATATAACAAAGAGTGAAAAATTTAAGGGGGTCTGAATACTTTCCGTACCCACTGTATAGTGTGTTTAGATGGTCACTGCACTTCTCAGAAATGTTATTTTTATTGACTTACACGCCAAAAAATTATCTTCTTAGTATTTTTGTCTTGTTTTTCAATACAAATATCTAAACATCCTTAAATCAAGACACATTTACTTGAAAATCTAAATAAACTTAAATATGTCTGTCAATAGGGTTTGAAAAATGTGGAAGCCTTTTTACACCATGAGATATAAAATTAAAAAGAAGGTAAACTTAAAAAGGTAAAACTTTTTATCTCACTATTCAGACTCACAAATTATAAACATATATATATTTTTTCTAAAAATTGTGAGATCTAAACTCAGAACTGCAAGAAAAAGTCCATTAGTTTGGACGTCAAACGAAAAATAATCTTATTTTCTTTTTGAATAAATTTTTTTTTAAGCATAAACTCAATTCATTTTGATAGATTTGTTTAAGTTTTCAACTTAATATCTGAAGTAATCTTGCATCTCCAGTAACTGTATCTTGATTTAAAGGGGTCATGAACTGAGAAATCAAATTCCCTTGATCTTTTGACATATAACAGGTCAATGTACTATAAAAACATCCAGTAAGTTTCAGAACTCAAAACTTTCTCGTTAGTTTAGAAACAGCTTTTATTGAAACCAAGCTCAGAAAATGACTCGTTTCGGGATGTGCCGCTTTATGATGTAATAGTGTGGCTAAGCCCCGCCTCCACAGGAAAATATCAACGCCTGCTTCTACAGCTCTGCATCTTTAGCCCCGCCCACGATTCTACAGCACTGCCTCTTTAGCCCCGCCCACGATTCTACAGCACTGCGTCTTTAGGATCGACAGTAATGTCGCAGCACAGACCTGTGAGGAAACCTGCTTTCACCACTACTGCATTGTGTTCCAGACCGTTTGATATGAACTGAGTTTATATCACGTTTTTAACCCAGATGACCCATGTTGTTTTCAGAGTACGTCACAGCAGCGTCTGTCTGTTATTTTAATAAGTGAAACTGTCATCCAATCACAGCAGGGGGCGTTTACTAGCCCCGCCTATAAAAACAGAGCGTTCTGCAGAGAGGCTCAAAAGCAGCAGCGAAAATAACTTATAAATTATGATGTTTTCATGCAAAATCACACTAGCACTATAAGAAAACCTCAGAGAACATCATAAAATAATAAAAAATGCAGTTCATGATCCCTTTCTGGATATTTAGATATTTGTACTGAAAAACAAGACAAAAACACTGAGGAATAACATAATTTTTGCAGTGTATTAAACCACTCAACAACAACTAGCTGTTCAGTTCCGCTCATGTAAACATGGTAGTGAATGAATCAAGAGTGAATCAGGTCATAAAATGTGCTTCTGTGTGAGTAAACCGCTGATTTTACCCTAAAGCTCATGAAATCTCACGAGGCCTGACTTCACCGATGCTCTCAAACTGTCCACTAACACAGGTGAAGAAAGACTGACATCAACAGCAACCAATCTGAGTCAGGTCAGCCAGCGAGTGTGTTCTGGGCCGTTCGGTTCGAGTCCCGTGCTCTCTTTATCACACACTGATTCACGGTCCTGAAGGAACGAGCCGAAACCAACAGCCCTAACAGACGCAGCACAGCTTCAC